CCAGAATTTTTGAGCACACAGTTACCGAATGGTTCCTGTCCACTAAATCTAAAATAGTAAAAACTGACCAGTTTTTCTCTGACCAGTTGTTCTACTTGAAAAACGTCGTTTTAAATAGATGTGCAAATATATATTAGGAATGATCACAAAAGTCAGTTAATTTCACAGAAATTTTCAAAAATTTTTGTCCGTACTCGGCGACTCTTTTGATACAACTTAACTTTTGAATCTTATACTTGTCTGTATTCTGGCAACGGTAAACATTACGATGTTTATGATATTTTAGATGCATAATCTTGTAGAAAAGATAGAATCTTTTATCAAAAGAGCATCGCTCCTGTTTCGGATCAGTCAAGCGTCGTGACTTTGTGTCACTTCTTACGAAGCTCTCCCTCTTTGTCATCGTTCGTCGTCTTAGCAAACGAAAATGGTAAGAAAAAGGAAAGAAACATGAAAAGGCTAAAGAAAGAAGAAAGAGAGACAGAAATGGTAAGATGAAAGGATACAGTCGCGACGTTGCCGCGCCATGGTCTGAGATCCGAGAAATTCTGCAAAAACCTTCGGCCATCTGATGCAAACCATCGCATTCCTTTTTCCTTCTTTTAGACGATTTTACATTATTTCAAATCATTCTTATTGCCGACGATAGATAAAAGACGCTTCCAAATAGGATAAATATACAATATTTATATATGTATACATAAAGTTATGCCATAATAACTAAAACGAACTTTGAAGATCTAGAAAAGATCAAAGAGAATTAATTTAAACTCAACTGAATTTACCTGATTGGGTTGATCTATAAAATATATCAAATTCGTGTGTATAAGAGAGAATTGAGATAAAACAGGTCTTTTGCTAAAGATTTCGAATTGTCGTCACGATTTACATTCCTATCATGATTTATGTCACGACCTCTCGAATCTAACAGCAAAAAGTTTTTCTTGTCTAACTGGTCTTTAGCTACATTCTAAATTGACCCTTTGTGCAATGATAACCTCGCACAGCGACATCATATTGCCTGCCTTCTTATTATCGAAGTCGATTTCATTGTTATTTCACGATAAGGCTATTTCAGCGTACAATTCTTTCCCATTTCGTAGTCATAAGGCTCGCATAAATCTTTTCGCGAAGTAACATAAACATGACATACGTCAGTCAAGAAATAAAGAAATAAAGTTTTTTTTTTTTCAAGACTCGACAATAATTAAATATTTTCTTATCATGAGAGTAATACATTAAAAAAAGCAAGGTTAAATAATTTTAACAATGGTTATTTATTACACTCATCGATTTCTCAATAATTACATAATTAGCGTCAGCGGAAAAAAACAGCTTGCCGAAATTAAATTTTAATTTTCACACTTTTCATATTTTCGTAATATTTTCTCCATAATATCTGAATACTACGATTACTATTTTCTTATTAATATAAAAGAAATTAAATAAAAATTCTTTTTGGATACTAATTGGATATCAAATCGGATACTAACTCGAAGTAATAATTCTAATAAAAGCGTAATGTAAATTTTTCTTTATCTTTTATACATTTTCTATTTTTTCTACATATTATACACTGTAAAAAATAAAATGTTAATTTTAACTTAAAGATTTTTAATTTTAATATTTTTGCATGTTTCAGAAAGTCCACTATACGACTGTAAGTTAAAATTAACATTTTATTTTTTACAGTGTAATTACATATAATCACGACAAATATTTAAAAATAAAAAGGGAGAAGGTGCTTTTATTTTTAGACTCTCGATGGGACAAAGTACGCGATATGGAGACCTTCCAAATTCAACGAGAGTTCACTAAATCATAAAACCATCCGCACGATATATTCTGACATGCTCCAAAAAAAAGTCTTTTACACCGTGATACATGCGGAATGAATCGTGGCTTCGTCGTGCGACGTTGTACAAGAAGCCGCATAAATAAGCTCTAGCTCTAATCGGAGCACTCAAGTTAAAACTACCCGGCTGCCAGCGGCCGAGGAATTTCGCTCTTTATGATCCATTCATAAAACAAGAGTCGAACGGGCGCGAAGATAAACGCGTCATCGATGCAGCTCCGAAACGTTCGTCAATGACACATAAGCCATCGCGTCGACGACTATGAGAGATCTCGACCGATCCCGATTATTCGGACGATCGCGGTTACTTTACTCGGAAGACGCTACAAAAATTGTATTTCTCTCTACACACCTGTCTCGCCGCTAGCTGGTGTCCCGTGGATTTATCGCTGATAACTTCCAGCCGGTGGTACGGTCGCACACGGGAAACACCATGCAAAAACACGACGCAAAGCGGGAATCACGTGTACGACGACGGTGAGGCGCACGCACATCGGCAGCAGCACTAACGCAACGAGACGGTGTACACCGTGTACAGTGTACCAGCCCGGTGTATACACAATATACAGATTACAGGAGTATTATGGCCGCGTTCCTAACGTTCATGAATGAAACTAAGCGCGCTACTAACTTGGCGTCGTAATTTCGGCCGGCAGCCAACGGCTTGCGAATGATCGTACGTATCGCGGCGTCACGTGACTCGGCAAGCTCCGCCGAGCTTCGGCAAGTTCCGCCAAGCCTCGGCAAATGGCCGCCGCGCCGGCGCGGTCATTACGAACGCGTAGTTAGACGGACCGCGTAAAAATTAAACGCAAACAGATCTCTGCCATCTATTAAAAGCATAAATTTCTTTATGATATTTGAATAATGTGATTAGACTGAAGCTTCGTGAATTTATTTTGAATCGGAAACGTATTTGATATTTATAGCACTCTTTTATACAGATGTCGGTAAACTAATTAATTGGAGCACCGAGATATTAAAGATAATAATAAGTTTTATTCTAAATGATGTCTTGAGATGCTAGTGATTATTAGAAACCAAAGAGATTGACAAGTGTCTATTAAAGATTGACAATTATATAAAAATCCATGTCTATTAAAATTCAACTGATTAATTTGTAACAAAATATTAATTTTATGTAATTATTCTAAGCAGGCATAAATATATATGTATATTTATATGATATGGATTTGATTTTTATTCAAAATTTGCACTCTTATTTTTATCATTTGCGTTTAATGATCCATGCATGAATAATAGAGAAAAATGTAATTTTATTATATTATAATGTATATAATACGAAATATGTATATGAAATATATATAATATTTTTGCAACGTTATGTATGCTTATATATGAAAAGCATCTGTAATATATAGTAATGATTTAAATTATCTGATATATTATATGTAATTGATTTTTTAGATATTTATATAGATCAAAAAATTTACATCGACAGTCGATAAAGTCAATTGAAAACTCTGCAGTTATCTTTGAGTCTCATTGACAATTACGAAAATGCTGTGCTATTATAGATCAACTTATAATAGCATCGAAAAAAATTACAAAAAATTGGAAAATATTAATAATGTCGATCGCCGAGAAAATTAATAAATATAGACATGAATATAGGCATGAACTTAAAGGAGTATGAACCTTTAGTAGAAAGAAAAGAATTTGTAGCCATCTTGAAAGACGAACTGTTCTTTTTAGGTAAACTTCTTACACTATTAAGTGTGCGCGCGCATTTTCCTCTTTTTTTTTTCCACGTCAAAAAAAAATGAAAAGATAAATAAAACAAAAAGTTCAGTTTAAAAAACAGGCCTAAAGGTGCTTTTATATCAAGGGAGCATCAAGCATTTTTCTTATACTTATAGTATAAAAAAAAAACACATAATTTAGTCTAAATTATAAGTTTTTTCTTACATCTTTATTATCTTTTCTCTTACATGATGTACGTTTTGAGATAATCGTTTCAGACGTGAAAGATAGTTCACTGAAATTTAAACTAGGATATAAAACAAATAGTACTAAATTATAGTATAAGCGTTTTATTGTTAATGTTATTATTTTTAATGGATTTTTAATGGACATTCTCATCTTTTTAAAAGTTAGCATAAAACAGATTTCTTGCTAAATAGTTAAATCAAGATTATAAAAATAAAACAGAAAATTCAGACTCGTGTACAATAAATTTCTATGCTTAATACTCCTATGAAATAGTACCTTAATATGATACTAGAAAGTGAGAGAAAGAGAGAAAAAGAAAGAGGAAGAGAGATAGAGCGTTGTCTCTCAAGAGATGGCGAAAGGTTTCATATTTTTGGAACTCATGCTCCATTTTTTAAGTCCATAATCGTCAACTAATTTTAGTCATACAAGACACGAGATTTAACGTCATATAATACAAACAATTTGAATAATTATGAAAAATATTATATAACAAGAAATAAATGAGAAAATATAATATAAGAAATAATACTTTTTCGTAATTCAAATAATATTATACATATTTATTTAGTCGAATAAAAATATTTGAAAAATATTTGAATCACAAATAACGTTGCATGATATATAATTATATCATGCAATGTTATGCCATTTGTGATTCAAATATTTTTGAATCGCGAAATTTTTTGATTCGACTAATTTATATATATATATATATATATATATATATATATATATGCATATACCTTGTGCAAGTAGATATCAAAATCCTTCCTGGCTCAGAAGATTTTGTATATTGTCGGATATGGATACGACTCATTAGATCAACGTACGATTGTTGGTGACGCTTGATGAGTCACGACAAACATTCTCAAAATGCAAAAGACATCCAGAATGATTCCTCGTGCACGAGATTTGCTCTCAAACCGTCGCAACAGCAAGAAACACGATTCGGATGTAACAACTGGATGCAACCGTCACGACGCCTTCCATCAGTTCCATCACTGAAACAACTGAAATCTCATCGAGGCGCCAAATTGCGATTTTTAAAACAGTCAAAGGAAACGAACCAATCACAAGCTCGATCGTTCGAACCGCACTTTCTACACTTGACGCGAGGCGAGTGTAGTACGTTTAATCTTCGGAAAAAGAAAAATATCACTCGTAGAGCATAAAAGTTAGTATGCGTGCAAGAAACAATTGTTAAAAGTATTTTTGTGATTTGTTGCCTTACTTATCTTTTTAATTTCGTAAATAAACACGCGAATGCCGTCGTAATACGATACACCAAATTCGTAGACTTTCTACTGCCAGAGTAAACTCTAATCCGCCAATCAGAAGACGAGTTCTTGATAAGGTAGTGCTGTATATAGAACTGTATTGAAAAAGGCGGGCTTCGATCAGCTGCGACAGCATGCAACAGGCAGACGTGTGGTGACAGTTCGCGCATGTTTATTTGTTGCTTTGAAAATTTTCTCAATGCGATTATTAATATTTATCTGATAGACATCGAAGAAATATCATTTCGTTCAGTATCTTCGAAATGGAAACTTTGCAAAATACCGGTGCTTTCCGTCCACCTAAGGCGGTTAACAAAAGAAATCCGAATCAAGAGACTAGTACCTCGGGGTATGATAATTTTGGTGCTTGTTCTTGTTTGATTTTATCGCGGCCTTTCTTATAAATTTTTAATATTTCAGAGAAAATGCATTGGGAAAATTGCTCGAGATCAAGGAAGATATCAGAATCGATACTGTATACGGATTTCGTCGAGTCACTGACTCGAGAGAAAGGATAGGATTTTTGCTTAATATGCACGCGGTAAGGAAGATTGAATGAAATGATGGCATAATTAATATACAAGATTATGTCTTTGTGTAGACGGAGATCGTAGAGGATGATAAACATATGTTGAGTGGTGTGGATTATTACTTCATCGAGGAAGACTCTACCAGGTTTAAAGTGTCATTGCCATTTTCACCATATTTTTACATTTTATGTCGTAAAGATACATTTGAAGAAGTGTCGACATTTTTATTTAAGAAGTACACAGGAATTTTGACGAAAATTGAAACTATTTATAAAGAAGATCTTGATTTGGTAAAATGTGCTTTTAATCAATTATTTAATTAGCTATTAATATACAATTTTTACAATTCAGTGTATCTTTTCTTTTTTATTATTCTTTTTATTTATTTATCTTTTTGTTTATTTTCTTTTTGTTCTCTTATTACAGCCTAATCACTTGATTGGTTTGAAACAAAAATACTTGAAGCTTTCCTTCGCGAATATTATTGATTTAACGAAAGTTAAACGCGACATTATGCGCTTTGTTAGAGTTAACAAAGAGCGAGAGAAAAGTAATACTTACTACACAGACATGCTAGCGACTACTTTACAACCAAACGAACAACAGGACAGTGGTAAACAAATTTTAGATCACATGGATAATATTCTTGATATTAGGTAATTGTGTACATTTCTTTTTTAGTTCTTTCTTTTTTTTATTAATATTTATTACTTCTTAATTTCTCTCTTTAGCACTACTTCTTGATTTATACTGATATTATATATTGCATATATTGAAATATAATTATTTAGGGAACATGATGTACCTCATCATGTCCGAGTATCTATAGATGCTAATATCTTCTGTGGAATTTGGTACTCTGTAAAGAGCAGAGGAAGTGAACCACCTATAATCATGCGAAAGGAGGACATGATTGAACCACCTGAACCTATTGTATTAGCATACGATATTGAAACTACAAAGCTGCCATTGAAGTTTCCAGATGCCAGTATCGATCAGATTATGATGATATCATATATGATAGATGGGCAGGTAATATATCTCATTTTATAAAATAAATAATACTTATTATTTAACTTTTCAAATTATTAGATAAATAATTTCTATTCTATTTTTTAAAGAGAATTTATTACATTTTTCTTAGGGATACTTAATAACGAATAGAGAACTAATCTCTGCAGACATACAAGATTTTGAATATACACCAAAACCGGAATTTGAAGGTCCCTTTACAATATTCAATGAGCCTAATGAGAAAGCAGCTATAACAAAATTTTTTGATCATATTAATGAAATAAGACCGCATATATTTGTAACATACAATGGTGATTTTTTCGACTGGCCATTTGTTGAAGCTCGAGCTGCTGTGCATAATATGGATATGAAAGAGAAAATTGGCTTTTATAAAAATCGCGAAGGTGTTTACGTTAGTAGAGCTGCTATGCACATGGATTGTTTATGGTAAATATTTTGTGAGATTTTATAAAGTATTAAATATGTTCTTATCACAAAACTATTTTAGTTGGGTGAGACGTGATTCTTATCTCCCAGTGGGTTCTCAAAATTTAAAAGCTGTCGCTAAAGCTAAGTTGAGATATGATCCAGTGGAACTTGATCCAGAAGATATGTGCAGATTAGCATCGGAAGAACCTGAAATACTCGCAAACTATTCTGTTTCTGATGCTGTGGCGACATTTTATCTCTATCAAAAATATATTCATCCCTTCATATTTGCGTTATGCACTATTATTCCCATGGAACCTGATGAAGTAAGAAAAATATTTTATATTATTAGGTGTTGGAATTAATTCGTAGCGTTTTACAAGTGATGGGAAGTACTTTCATTAATGTATTTTTTAATGCTCATGTGAAATAAATAACATTCTTTCATTAAAAAACGCTACGAATTAATTCCAACACCTAATATGTACATTAATTGATATACTTTTCTTTAAATGATAAGTTTCATTTTATTTGACTTTATTTGATTTTATATGACTTATGTTTAGGTGCTCAGAAAAGGATCTGGTACACTTTGTGAATCACTTCTTATGGTACAAGCTTTTCAAGCTAATATTATATTTCCTAATAAACAAGAAACTGAATTAAATAAATTGACAAAAGATGGCCATTTACTGGACCAAGAAACCTATGTAGGTGGACACGTAGAAGCCTTGGAATCTGGTGTTTTTAGAGCCGACATTCCTTGCCGTTTTAAAATTGTACCTAGCGCTGTAGACGAGTTAATTGGTGGTGTAGAAAAAGCCTTAAAACACACAATACAAGAAGAAGAAAAAGTACCAATCGACATGGTTACGAATTTTAATGAAATAGTAAATGAAATTAAGGGAAAATTGAAAGAACTTAAAGATCAACCTTTAAGATTAGAAAATCCTGTAATTTATCACTTAGACGTAGGCGCTATGTATCCCAATATAATTTTAACTAACAGATTGCAACCTTCCGCGATAGTAAATGAAACGGATTGTGCAGTGTGTGATTATAACAAACCTAACGCTCTTTGCCAAAGAAAGATGAAATGGATGTGGCGAGGCGAATATTGTAAGTTTGAGTATAAAATACTACCCGGAGTTATCTATATTTTATATATATATATATATATAATTAATGTTGTGTAATTAATAATTTTTAGTGGCTGCAAGTTTGGGGGAATATCAAAGAGTAAAACAGCAATTAGAAACTGAAAGATTTCCACCGCAATTTCCTGGTGGACCTAAGAGAGCTTTCCACGAATTGACCACAAAAGACCAAGCTACATATCAAAAAAACAGACTTACTGACTATTGTAAAAAGGCGTATAAAAAGGCGAAAATTACTAAAATGGAAGAAAGAACGCAAATGATTTGTCAGAAGGAGAATTCGTTTTATGTTGACACTGTGAGAGCATTTAGAGATAGAAGATATGAATATAAAGCATTAACTAAAGTTGCTAAACGGCAAGTAGCAGCAGCAATTGCAAAAGGAGATGCGGCTGATATAAAGTCTGCCAAGAATAGAGAAGTTTTGTACGATTCTCTTCAGCTTGCTCATAAATGTATTCTCAATTCTTTCTATGGTTACGTTATGAGAAGAGGGTAAATATTAAAATGAAATATATAATGTTAAGTAACACATTAGGATAATATTAACATAAAGAATAATATATATAATATTTTTATTATGTTTTTTTACTATTTTTATTATACACTCAAATTTGTGATTTTTAAAATCTTATATTATTCTCTTTTATTTTAAAATTATATTACAGAGCACGATGGCATAGCATGGAAATGGGTGGCATCGTATGTTACACAGGAGCCCATATTATCATGAAAGCTAGAGAAATTATAGAACAGATTGGTCGACCATTGGAATTAGATACTGATGGTATATGGTGCATATTACCTGCGTCTTTTCCGGATTCTATCATAGTTCATACTACTTATGAAAAGAAATCGAAATTTACGGTCTCGTATCCGAATGCGGTCCTTAATTTTATGGTGAAAGTATGTATAAATGAACAAAAAGTATATTTTTTTTCTTTCGATTACTATATTTTTTTATTTTACACAGGATCAATTTACTAATGAAGTATATCATGAACTTGTGAATAAAGATAATTTAACGTACGAAATCAAAAGTGAAAATTCTATATTTTTTGAAGTTGATGGACCGTATTTAGCAATGGTGTTACCCGCTGCAAAAGAAGAAGGAAAGAAATTAAAGAAACGATACGCAGTTTTTAATTTCGACGGTTCGCTAGCCGAACTAAAAGGATTTGAAGTAAAAAGAAGAGGTGAATTGCAACTGATAAAAATTTTTCAAGCTTCTGTTTTTGAATCCTTCTTAAAAGGAAACACATTGGAAGAATGTTACGCTTCAGTCGCGAAGGACGCAGATTATTGGCTGGATTTATTGTACAGTAAATGTGCAAATATGCCTGATTCCGAATTGTTCGAACTTATATCTGAAAACAAATCCATGTCGCGTAAATTGGAAGAATATGGTGCACAGAAGTCCACGTCGATTTCTACGGCTAAAAGATTAGCCGAATTCTTAGGCGATGAGATGGTTAAAGATGCAGGTTTAGCTTGTAGATATGTTATAGCAAATAAACCGCAAAGCGCACCAGTTACTGAGCGCGCGATACCATTGGCTATTTTTCAATCAGAACCGGCTGTGCGAAGACATTACTTGAAAAAATGGTTGAAGGATCCTACTTTGTACAGTGAGGATATAAGAGATATTTTAGATTGGAACTATTACATTGAACGACTCGGGAGCGCTATTCAAAAAATAATCACTATACCAGCGGCGATGCAAGGCTTATCGAATCCAGTTCCACGAGTGCAGCATCCACCATGGTTACATAAGAAAGTGATGGAGAAAAGTTCATCCCATCGTCAGAAAAAGATCACAGATATATTTTCTGTAGTAGATAAAGACATTTCTCATGCGAACAGCGCCGAAGAGCCTTGTGATATTGAAGACCTCGCAGGACCGTCCACTAGTTTCACGACTCCAATGTCGATTGTTAACAAGAGAAAAAGACAGCATTCAGATGAAGATGAGACAATTAGAGCGAAAAGTTGGAAAGAAGCTCTGGGTTCACCTCCTCCCATGGGAAAAACGAAAGAAGAGAGGCTTAAATGGTTGGAGTTTCATAAGAAAAAGTGGGCTTTCCAGGCTAAACAAAGAAATCAGCATCAGAAAAAGAGAAGTAAAACTGACGAAATCGACGGAATTGGCTGGGGAGTTATACGAAATACAAATACATCTACCATGACTGGCTTTTTAAGACGCGCTCAAAGAAAATTGTTGGAAACTCCGTGGGAAATCATTCAGCTATCGGAAACCAGTGAACCCGGCATGTTTCGATTGTGGATACTGGTTGACACACAGCTGCATCAAGTACGTCTCGTAGTACCCCGCATATTTTACGTAAACACCCGCAAAGCAAGACCCGATCCAGGACCTAACGAGCTCTGGAAAAAAAGTTTCAGATCTTTACCACGCTCTCGCCCGATATACAACTTGTATCAATATTCTCTACCAGAATCTTTATTTCAAGAGCATAGTCGAGAGCTCCTGGAAGACTTAAATAAACCAGAAATTGAAGGGATTTACGAGACGCAAATGTCATTGGAATTTCGGGCCATATTGCAGTTGGGATGCGTATGCATAGTCGATCCGCGTGTTATGCGTAAAGTGGCAGATGGTGCCGATACCTTTACTCTGGATCAATTGGAGTACAAAAGTATCGCTTTTCATCCTTATCTCAAGCGAACTGAATCGATCAACTACATATTTCTCTATCATCATTGGAGTTCAAACCGTCAAAGAGCATTATGGGGCTTATTCTTAAGCGCCAGCAGGAGGGCTCACATATTCGTCTTAGATTCAGTCGTTTCTAATCAACTACCGAACATGAATACATTATACACGAACGAACGTAAAGCAATATTGGAAACAAATGGCGAAGACAGTATAAGCGAATTGCCTGAAATTATGCAGTTTATGATACAAACTGAAACAAACTTTCAACATGTGTGTCGTACGTTGCAAACAGCCTTAACGACATATAAGAATGAAAAGCACGGTGCTACAATTATTATTAATCAAACTGCTCTCGACAAGACTGTGTTAACTACCGAAATGCCACTTCTCAATGATTTCCCTCTTATCAGCACGCACGTGCGAGACGTTGAGAATCTGTACAGCACATTAGAATGGCAGAAGATCGGCGCGAAAATGATGATCAGTCACTACCTGAAGAGTCAACAGATTGTCGAATTAATCGCAGAACAATGCCGATATTTCCACGCACCCATTGGCAACATACCCGCGGATACTTCACTCTTTGGCGCCGATTTATTCTACGCTAGAAATTTGTACAGGAATAATTTTGTCCTATGGTGCTCGCCCACGGAGAAACCCGATTTAGGTGGCAGCGAGAATGACGATAACAGGCTACTGACAGACTTTGAGGAAAGTTCGAGCTGCGCTGCGAACAATCCAGGCACATATTCCAGTGTTTGCGTTCAATTGGAAGTAGATTATTTAGCAGTCAGTGCACTGTTGCAATACAATCATATTCACGATATAGATGGAACTAGTACATTTGTAGCGTTTCACAATCAACAGCGTCCATCCATCCAGGTCAGTTTTATACATCTTTCGAAAATTATATACATATTTAAAATTTGTTTAAAAAAATATACCCCTCTAAATTAATTAACAGTACTTTTTAAAAATTCATTTGCAATAATTTTTCTAAATTGACAATATATTGTAACTATATAAATTATATTAAATTATTCAATAGGACATGGCAATGGGTAGTGATGCTGCAACAGTTATTCCCAGCTACGACGAAATCACTTTATGCAATCCATCATTTAAAATATTGCGAAACATGGTAAACACATGGTTGCTGGATGTATCTTTATATAAAAATACATTCGCGGATTATCAATTGATCCATTTCTATCGGTATTATTATTTGTATTGTTATTAATTATATTACTTAATTATATATTATTCTGTTATATCAACACGCATGCACATATCATGATTCCAGATGGCTGAGGTCTTCAAACGCTTTGCTTTATGATCCTGCTCTCCGCCGTACTTTACATACTTATATGAAAAAATTATATATACAGTTAATAGCACAATTCAAAACGTTAGGTTGTATTATAGTTTTTGCAAACTTTAATAAGATTATTGTATGCACAAAGAAAAGATCTGTGAGCGATGCTTTAGGCTATATAGAGTTTGTTGTTCAAACTATACAAAACAAAGAACTGTTTCACAGTATTGATATTTCTTGTGAACAATGTTGGGAATACCTAGTATGGCTTGACTTGGTATGATTCATCAATTATTCCATTCATGAAATGTAACGTTTTGATTACATATTTGATTTTTTCAATAGCACAATCATGCTGGTATTAAAGGACAGTCACCTAAAGATGATACGGGAGATGAGAACACTGAAAATGATGACGATGACACGGTAAAAAAAATAAGCATATTTATAGACATTTGTAGAAATTGCACTGATAATGCTTTGACGATATTTTTCTACTTATTGAATTATTTTTATTTAGCTTCTAATCATGAATTGGAGTTTGATGGAATGCCTGCCTACAGAAGCAGGATGTCAAGCAAGTTTTAATGCTGTAGTAGCAGGATATATACGTGCAGTATATCAGTGTATGATTGAGAATGAAACTAATAACACTATAAGGCCAAGAAGAAGACAAAGCCAAAGCCAATCGTTTATAGCACCACTTGGTTTAGGTGCATTGGAAAATACAGCCGAGTTTGCAAAAAAATTGATATCAGGAGAAATATCTCAAAGATTATTCAAGTATATATTTATTTATTTTACAGTCTCTAAAATTAATATGAAGCTTTATATAAAGAAAATGAGATAAATTTAATATTGATATTTTGTGCTTGGAAAAATCGATAGTTTGAAAGGCATATTTATTATTTGCAGAATAGCTCAAAAGATACATCGGAACTTGACAGAAAAAACATTAACTCTCGAGGAATATCCTAATTTGAATATGAATGGAAAAGAAAGTATAAAAATCAACCCTGCACTTGAATTAATCAAAGCAGTATGCAAGGTAACATTACTTTATAAATATTTCAACAATATTTGAATTGTTTGAGATATTAAAGATTATCTGTGAAAATTGCAGGTTTTATCTCTGGATAAAGAGATGGAGCATGAAGTTTATAACTTAAAAACAAATCTTTTACGATTAATTGGAGTCGGTAGTTATAGCGATAATGTTGAATGGAAGGAACCGTGTATTTCTCTTGTTTTACCACAAGTTATATGCAAAGTATGCAATCGCACGAGAGATATTGATCTTTGTAAAGATGAATATTTTACCAATGAAAATAACAAGTATGTTAAATATGAAAATAATGTAATATTTAGATAAAGATATACACTAAAGATGTATTATTATTATTATTATAGATTCATGTGGAAATGTCCTAACTGTGATGCATCTTACGACAATACAGAAATAGAATTTTCACTAATTGACAAATTGAATCGTAAAAGTATGGCTTACGTATTACAAGATCTACAATGCCGAAAGTGTAAGGAAATCAAACGAGACAACATGAATTTGTTATGTTCTTGCTCAGGCGAATATGATAATTTAATTTCACGAGATGAAGTCACAAGCTATGTAAATATATGTAAATCTATAGCCACGAAATGTAAAATGAATATTTTAGCAGAGATAGTAGATAACACGAAACTTTTTACGAGTTAGTAACTAAATCAAAGTTTTCTCCCTTTATGATAATTTATCACTAAATTTATTAATTTGTTTTGTTTTTGACTGTTTAGGTTAAAAAAAACCAGATTATAATTTACAGCTATATATATTTTTAAGATGACTTACTTAATATTTAATAGTTCAACAGTACATGAATGTTCTATGATATATATTGATACATACATGTTCATTTTTTACCCATATCTACAGGTTTAATACCCGTATCTACAGGTGGATCTGAAATAAAGTACAATATATTAAATTGTTTTGCTATATGTTCATATATTTGCATGTAAGCAAAATTGTAATAACTTTTCAATTTAAAACAGACATCTGAAAGACATATTTGTTTTATAAATAACTTACCAACAAATTTAAACTGAGGAAATTGAGTCATATCTACTCCTGGACCACCACCATATTGCGTGTTAAGTTTTTCTAATTCAGAATCTCGTTCTCTTATAATATTCGGACTGGGATCAACTAATTTCCCATCTCTTTAAATAAAAGAAAAATTTTTATAGCATTTAATATTCTTTATTTTAGACATATTATCTTGATATAACATAAAAATATTAGTTCAATATTTAATGAATTTAATTTATTAGTTCCATCTAATTATTGATATTTCGCAGCTATGTAAAATATTTTTTTAACTCTTAATTTTATTTTTAATTAGAGACATATATATATATTTTTTTTCAAATTATTCTAATTAATACTATTGTCTTTTCTAAACAGAACAATACAACAATAAACAAACATAAATAAGATGAACATAGGCAGTTCTTTTAGTTTCTCTTATACTAAAAATTTAATTATATTCTTTTTCTGTTCAAAGTATAAATTTTTTGCAAAAATATTTCCTCAAAAATATTTTTAAAAAATTGAAAAGTATGCTTACACGCTTTTTGATTTATATTGCCGAAGTTTGTCAACGAAGAGCTGCTGTATAGGATCAACTGCTTTCTGCAAAGCAGGAACGTTGGTGCTAATGTTACGTTTAATAGTTTTCGGCACACTAATGAGACGTGACCTCAACATGATTGCCTAAAAAATAAGTCACGCACAATTTTGGAGAATTCTATACCTATGTTTTGTCGTCAACAAGTAACTCTTCTTTTTTTGCGCAATAAGCGTGAAAGAAATTCAAATAACCTCTCAATTACACATCGAAATCATAAATTCTAAATTATAATTTTTTTATATGTTGTTGAATTTTATTAGAATGAAAATTAATCGTCTTTCAGACGTCTCTTACGTAATAAAATGCAATAACATTTGTTGGTTAGATCCATTCGGAATAGGTTAAAGCAATTTGAATATACATTCATCCATTCATAAATGGATAAACAGCAATAATTTAAAATATATTACACATTACACGTTAATAAATAGTTAATGTATTTACTTATATGTTTAGCTTGTACACACAAGAATGTCCAAATTTTCTTCGCAAGACAATCACCTAACTAACACTACCGAATAACAGAAGCCAATAGTTTCGAAAGGCAAAATCAGATGGAGTAAAGGGATTCCATGAACTAGATATTGATAAAGATGGGCAAGTTCGAAATTTTATAAAAAATTAATTAAAATAAACTTAACGCAAAATATTTAAAAAGTATAAAAGATTAGACAGTATAAACATGAAATAATAATAATCTAAATTTATTATGAAGCAATATTGAAGAATAAATTTTTATGGCTACGTATATTTCTATTAATTAAAAGAAATAATTTTGTTTATTTTAATTGTTTTTTCTATATTATATTTTTTCTTGACTTTTTTCCTGAATATTTTATATAAATATCAAAAGTAATTCTTCAAATCGATTGTATATATCAATTGTCAATTACAGTATTTTATTTTATCACTAGTAGATTAATTTTAATTTCGATTTAATTCTTTTTTTTTTTTTTTTTTAGGAAAAAGTAAAAAGTAAGTTAAATCACAGAGAGAAACCTGAAAGAGGTCATGCTGGTTTTTTCTTGTTATCATCGAAATCGCAAAATCGCTCGTACACTACCGCCAGTACATCCATTTTCAGTTTGGGAATTATGTGACTACATACATTTTCTGACACTATCGATAAAATTGTATCGTCGAAATAATTTTTAAGTAAATCTAAATTAGATAAAAGGAGAATTATTTAAAAATTATTTTAAAATTTTATACAAATTTATTTTTGTTAAGATCTTTAGAGAATATATATAATTATTTTAGAGAATATAATTATATAATTATTTTATCTAAATTTTAAATAACTCTCTTTTTATCAAAATTAAATAAAAGGATAGTTACTTAAAAATTACTTTAAAATTTTATACAAATTTATTTTTACTAAGATCTTTAGAGAATAATTTTTATTTGTCAAATAAAATGATTTAAAAACAAGCAAAAAAAGGTTAATTTTATACAAATAAAAAATATTTACTGCAAGATTTGCTCTACAAGGTGCCCGATGTTTTTCCCAGACCTCCTCCTCCTCTCAGAATTGGGTTGATATCCTCTCGCACAGGACACTCGCGTAAAACTCGCAAATAATATATAATATTATACTCGCGCGCGGACTATAACTTGAGTCCGATAACTTAAACGGCACTCCCGAAGAAAACGCGCGACGCGACGAACCGGCTGCGGCTCGTTTATTTTCAAGTAAATCGGCGACGAGGGTTAACTTCCCCATTGGATTTTTACACGAAGAGAATAATTTTACTCAATATTTAAAAATTTATCTAGATATACATTCAGATATATCCGAAAATTTTTAGATATTTGAGAAAAACCATACTTTTCGTAAATATCCTCTGGGTACTGAGCCCTCCCACCACGTCAAGATCGTACCCGTGAGAGAAAAATGTAATAAATAGCTATTATCTATATTACTATGCAATTATTATGCAATCGGTTAACTTTTAGAAACGAATATCAAACATATGTCTGCAATTCATTATCATTGCGAAATAAATTCAGAGCAGATAAAAGAGTTGAATTTTTTATTTATATAGATGATGTCTGTAAGATATGATCAGAATCAATGAAATGGAGATTAATAAAAAAGAGAAATGTTTCTTTTATTAGCGATAAATAGTTTCAAAGTCATGTTTAATTTTTAAATGAATCGTATAACGAAAAGTGTATACAAAAATAAAAAATTAATTAAATTATTAAACTATTAATTGTGAAAACATGAATTGCGTTTGTATGAAAATATTCATATTAACGTTGCTTTTTTATTACTCATGTGATATGTACATGCGTACGTACAAACAAATAGCCGTGTCGCGTGCCGTTCTTCTTCACATTTTTTTTTGAAACATATAATAATCACAAAAAATGCTAGATATAATATGAAATGTTATATTTTATGAATATTCATATAACACGATTACTAGTATTAAGTATAATTAATTATTCATAAAGTACAACGTTTCGTATTATATTTGGCATTCTTCGCGATAAGATTTCAAAAAGTATTGTAAAAAAGTCGCGTGCGACACAACTACATGCTTGTACGAATCTCGGTAAGGGAATGACTGCGTCGTAAACATGACGCGTCGTTCCGTGCCACCCGTGCCATCTCCACTCCAAGGTCGCGCGCCAACCGTCTAACTGTCGAAATAATAATAAATATTACGAACAAGTAAAATAATATATTCTTTACATTTTTTATGTTCTCCGATTAATGAAACAATTTCTTATATCTTTTAGCGGCGCGAGTCGTTTAATATGATGTCACAATTATATTGCGATACACCGAGGAACATATTTGACGTTCATTTTATAATTTTAAATATTTCGTATCAATTACAATGTGCTGATAAAAGAAAAGAACTAAAGAAAGGTTTTTACTAGCGTGGTTTTTCTTTCATAATTACTCAAGTAAAGTGCTTTTGACATCGCAACATTATATCTCAATTTTCATTATTCTTTTTTATGATTTACAATTAAATAAAGATTAATAACATGTTATACTCCTTTAAATGAAGATAAATGCAAAATTTATTTTAAATTGTGAAATAATTTCGATTAAATAGAATAATATGTATAAATAGCATGCACATACATTTAGAGATATGTAATTTAAATATAATTTATCTGTTATTTTTCCCGTATCATAGGAATGCGGAGTAACACGAAAATGATAGAATTATATATACGATTCAAAGTGATAAAAAAACCACAATTTGAAATATCTAACAATAAGAATCTCATTTTTATACCGTATATGAGAACACATGAAATATCTAAAATATTCATAAACTGTGTATGTGCGTAATGAATCTAAGAAATAAAGAAAAAACCTATTAATACAACAAAATCTATTAATTCTTAATACATTCCTTAGTTTTAAGCAACCTTACGTAATTCGCGTTCGTAGATATTTAATTTTCATTAATTAATGCGACACCCGGAGCGACTCGTTAAAACACGTCCATTTCTCTCCGAGATCGCCAAGCGAATGCCGAAGTGATGACGTCAAGTACTACGCTGCAGCCGCCGCGCGACACGTTCCCCCACTCCTCGCTGTTCGCTGCGTGACCCCTTCTCTCGCCGTTCGTCGGGCGCCGTTCGAATATATTATTGCGCATAAAAAATATTCACGGTTTATTCGTATTTTACATGATGTTGGTAAACGGATATCCTTATACATTTTACGCTTTACTTTTGGCATCTCTAGCATTTGTTAAATTCTATATTATTTGCGCGGTTCTTGTAAACGTAATCAGTAATTGTTCCGTGTGTGGAATATTTTTTATTTCAACATATCTTAATTTTTATTATTCTTTTAAATGATTCATGCTTAAAGAAAGAGATTGATAATTTTCTATACATCCTTTATAAAGATATATATGCAAATTTTTTTAATATTGCGAAAGAATTGTTGCTCAATACAGCTTATTGATTTATTAATGAATGATAGAATTCAGCAATTCAAATATTATAAAAGAATAGCAACGCGTCAATCTTTTATTAAAAATATTGTGTACACTGCACGGATTTTGTATAACATAAAGTTCTCGGGAAAAATATTTCATATATAATTACATTATAATTATGTATAATTATGTACAAAATATGTCCATATATATATTTTTTCCGGATTATTATAAACTAATAATCATTTGTATCATAATTAAACTAAGATATTCATGAGCTGCATAAAGAATCTAAGAAATAAAGTAAAAATCGTGCAATAAAACCTATTGATCGGAGAACATTCAAAATATAAAGAATATATTATTTTATTCGTAATTTGTTATTATTTCGACAGTTAAACGGTTGGCGCGCGGCCTTGGGATGGGGATGGTACGGAGTGGCACGGAGCGACGCGTCACGTTTATGCGTAGCTACCGCGCAGTCATTCCATTCCCGAGGCAGTCATTCCGTTCGTACAGGTAAGTAACTGTGCCGTGTGCCGCTCTTCACATTTCTTTTTAAAATGTAATCGCGATAAATACAATACATAATACGAATTGTCGCACTTTATATTCCAAAAATTTACATAAAATATTTAATAAGAAAAAGTTTTTTTTAACCCTTGAAATTCAATTTTTATTTACCTATGTAAGGGATACGAAATTAAAATTTTTTCGTTCGAAGACCCATTATCCCTCCTATGGATAGTTGGCACGCTTCTGTCCTGAGGATTTAGTACAGAAACAAACCACATCTACTTTCGACGATACGATTTTATCAATAATATCAGAAAATGTATGTAGTCACGTAGTTCCCAAACTGAAAATATGGATGTACCGGCGATAGTGTACGGATGATTTCTGGTAACAAAGGCCGGCATGACTTCTCTCAGGATTCTCTTTGATCCAGAGTTAAATCGAAGTCGCCCTAAATTAAATCTAAGTCAGCCAATCTGAAGCTTGCATTTTGAAATCAACGCTTCACATTGGCTGTCGCAACAAACTTGCGATCGGCTTGCAACTAATGTAGAACCGGCTTAATGATTTCAATGTTGCCACTTTCATGGATAAATGAATTGACAGCACTGCGATACGGTGCAGCAAACGGGGAAAATGACGCGGACAGGATTTCCGGCGGTGGTGACGGTAGAGTCACAGTGGTGAAGTGCCTCGAGTTGGTTCGGTCGGTCGTGCCGAGCTACCGAGCTACCGAGTGACTTGACGTTGAGTTAAATCGATGTGACAAATTTAACTGAACATCAGCATGACGGACGTAGACGTAGTAGTTCTGGACGACCCTGTCCAGAAGGAGGAAGTAGCAGCGCACTTCCAGGCACCGGCGATCCAGCACAATCCTGACGGCTGGGGTCCCTGCGAACTACCGGATCAGTTTAAGGACATTCCTTACCAGCCATTTTCGAAAGGCGACAGATTGGGCAAGGTGAGTGTTGCGAAACTTATTCCAACTTTATTTTCGTCCCATAAATCACACCTATCGGTTTGCTATTTTCCATAGATCTCCGATTGGACTACGCCTGCTTTCCAGGACAAAAAATTCCCAAGTACGTATTTCGCTTTGCTGACTGTTCACGTGCGCTTAACCTCAAAGATCGGGAGACTCTGATCCCGGGGACTGAGCTGGGAGCCTCGTTGGCATTTTTGCGTCACATATGTCTTTATCGTTGTTACATGAAGACGGCAGATTTTATTTAAGTTAATCTTATAACTGGAGCAAGCTTTGACAGATGTACATATGTCAAATGTTGAATATATTAGATAAAATTCTAATTAATATACATAGAATTATTTTATTAAACTTTATCTAGATAAATAATTTTTTGTCTCTTAGAAATGACATATTTTGATATAACAATTGATAATAATTTTTTTTTAAATTTGTATCTTGAGCAAAATTCTGTCAAATTAAATAGACTACTTGTCATTATTATTAATAATTTTTTTGTATCGTTCATCTTTTCTCTTTTTCTTTTCAAAATTCTCTCTTTGGCGAGAAAAGAGGAAAGATAAATGATATAAAAAGTTTAATTAAACAGATTTTAGATCTAATATAATTTATTATAAACTAGATTTATATTTAAAAGATATGACTATTGAAAAATTTATTAATGTAGCTTGTTTTTTATATTACATATGAAAAATTAATTCATTGATAAATTATAATTATATATGTATAAAATTAATATCTAACTATTTTTGTAGACAAATATACATCGCAGTTTGGTTCAGGCAGTCAATATGCCTATTATCACGATGAAGATGAAACCACCTTCCATTTGGTGGACACCACCCGTGTGCAGAAACCGCCGTATCAACGTGGTCGCTTCCGTCACAATCAACGCAATTTGCGCGGTCGCGGTGGTCAGCGTGGTGCATTGAGCCAGATGCAGCAGCTAGGGAAACTCAAATTGCGAGAACGGGAGCGTAAGGGACAAGCAAAGCGTTGGGGTAGACAGCAAGGTCTACGCAATCATAAGAATCAGCCGCCTATCAAGATCCGAGATGCTTCTGTAACAGTGCGTCCTGACTGGATAACTATCGAAGAAATGGACTTTCCTCGATTGGCTAAGCTCTCGTTGCCTGGCGTGAAAGATGGTGAAGATATATCATGCTGCGGCTCGCTTGAATATTATGACAAAACGTACGATCGTGTGAATGTCAAGAGCGAGAAACCGCTGCAGAGAATTGATCGTATTTTCCACACGGTCACAACTACCGATGATCCAATAGTTCGAAAATTGTCGAAAACTGAGGGCAATGTATATGCCACTGATGCAATCTTGGCTACTATCATGTGCTGCACACGTAGCAATTATTCGTGGGACATCGTCATTGAAAAAATTGGCGACAAGCTGTTCTTTGATAAACGAGATAACACCGAATTTGATCTTTTGACCGTAAACGAGACTAGCGTCGAACCGCCACAGGACGACGGAAATTCGCTGAATTCACCCAGAAACTTGGCCCTCGAGGCGACTTTCATCAATCACAATTTCTCACAGCAGGTACTCAAGTCAAATGAACCACGATACAAGTTTGAAGAAGGTAATCCATTTATTGCAGAGGAAGAGGAGAGCGATGTGGCCAGTGTGGCTTATCGTTATCGTAAGTGGGATCTTAACAATGGCATAGTCCTCGTCGCCCGATGCGAGCACGATGCTGTGATGCAAGGTCCAAACAATGAAAACCAATTCCTGACGATCAAAGCATTGAACGAATGGGATTCGAAGCTAGCTAATGGAGTCGAGTGGCGTCAGAAGCTAGACACGCAACGTGGCGCGGTTTTGGCTAACGAATTGCGCAATAACGCCTGCAAACTCGCCAAATGGACGGTTCAGGCGTTACTAGCCGGTTCGGATCAGCTGAAATTTGGATACGTATCACGCGCCATAGTGCGAGACTCGAGCAAACACGTAATTCTTGGTACCCAGCAATACAAACCGAATGAATTTGCGACGCAAATTAATTTGAACATGGACAACGCATGGGGCATCCTAAGATGTATCATCGATATTTGCATGAAGCAGAAGGATGGCAAATATTTAATAATGAAGGATCCAAATAAGCCTATGATTCGATTATACGATATTCCTGATAATACTTTTGAAAGCGAGGGCGAGGAAGATGAGGATGATGATGAACCTGTTAATGATGCGTTTCAAAGTTAACAGCCTCCATTAATTACGCTTACGCCCACCATTGATCGGTAATAGATTGCTTTTAAAAAAATTTTTGTGGAAACAAGAGTATTATAAAGAAAATAAATGAGAAGATTTCAATATAATATTTGATTTATGGAATTTTATTACTCAAATACTTTTTGATATAATTAATTAATAAAAATTCAGATACTTTGATTAATAGATATATATGAAACTGATATATATGAAAATTTTATCTAGGAATATATTGTATTTCAAGATACAATTATTCGATATTTATTCAAACTGTAACGTGATTGTTTATTTATTATATACATATAACAATATAGTAAAACCACAATACATTTTCTAATTTATTTTTTTTAATTTGTATTTTTAGCAAATTTTAAAAGAGAATTATATATATTGTTATTATCAATATCAAGAATTCAGTCATTAAAAATATTTTATACTTTAATAAGGTTTCTTAATTTATTGCTTTTAAAGAACTTCGTCAAAAATTTAAATTGTTACTTGGGGATCCAATTCCTTGATGACATATTTTAATTTACGCTTAGCATTATGGATCATCGTATCATCGATATCGTAATGAAGAACAATTCTAAGCAAATTTTCTGTGAGAGCCAGACATCTGATTAAAATCTTATCGTCTTCACAGGGATCATCCACTTTGTCGTTCACTTGTTGGAGCCTCTTCATGAGAGTCGCAGCGGAAATGCCGCTGTCAGTATTCACATTCACGAATACCATGTTGGTGTGCACGGTCTTCATATTTACAGTAAATATTTTAGAATTCAACTGATTGATCGTCTCCGCGATAATCCATGCTCTTCTATGATCCTCTACTAGTCGTGGTATTGTCTCTAGAGCGATGAGTCCAGCCGCCGCGATCACGCCGACCTGTCGCATTGCACCACCTAGTACCTTGCGCCTTCTTCTCGCGTTAACGATGAAGCTCTTGCTTCCGCAGAGCATGGATCCGACAGGAGCACCCAATCCTTTGCTCAAACAAAAACTAACCGAATCAAATGGAGTGACTAAATCCTTCGCCGAGATCTCCGACGCAATCGAGGCATTCCACAGTCGAGCGCCATCCAAATGCATCTTAAGATTATACTTTTTCGCTATTACCGCCAATTTTTCGATCCATGATTGAGGTACGATCTTTCCATTTATTGTGTTTTCTACTATGATTAGCTTCGAGACCGGTTCATGTATCCGATCCACGCGAATCGCACTCTCGAGTGTCTTTAGATCGAACGTACCGTCATCGTTGTTAGGCAAGATATGAAAGCTCACACCAGCTATCTGCGCCGCACCAGCTTGTTCATGAAGAAACACATGCGATTTGTTTCCGCAGTACACTTCGCTGCCACGTACATCGCAATGATTCATAACTGGAAGGAAAGAAAAGACGGTTAGCATAAAATTTTCTTTGAACGAAATGCGTTTATACCCGTGTTACATTACACATTGGAGATTAAGGATTGCGCGAATTGAGGATTAGAATTCAGCCAATCCGAATAAAAGAATTAAAATTAAAATTATCTGATTGGTCAAATTCTAATCTTTAATTTGCAATCCTCACTCTTCAATGCGTAGTGTGACACGAGTATTATATTATTAGGGAAATCTTTTCTAATAAATGATGGGTTCCATTTAGAATCCTAACAAAAAATAGAGATTAATTTTATAATTACAATATAAAAAGATCCTTCCCCATATTTATCAATTAAATGAATAAAAATAAATTCATTAGTCTCTCTTTTAATCTCGATTTTAAAAGAAAATATGAGATATTTAAGCTCTTACCAGCGATCAAATTTCCCATCGTACCAGAACTAACGAAAAGTGCATCTTCCTTTCCAATCAATGTCGCAGCCTTTTTTTGTAATTCTAAAAAAAATGTTAATTTATTAACCAACAATATATAAAAGTAAATAAAATGTAATATAACTGTATATTAAACTATATATTAACTATATATTAACAATATATTAAAACATAAAAGTGAATAAAATGAGAATATATTGTAAAAATTTGGTATTTTAAACAGGACATACAAACTAGCAAGTCTTTATTTGATAGAAATATTTTTTTATAAGAAATAAAATTGATTACGCGAAGCTTGAAAAAAATAGTTTTAGATAAGAAAGTAAAGCCGGCAGTACACGATGCTTGTTTTCCTACTGAATTAGATTAGATTCTTGCTATTGACGCTGCGATGCTGCTTTATCAGATAATATTTAAATTTATTTTTTTTATTACATGATTACATACATGATTTAACAAATGTTTCGATTTAAAATCTAAAATCGAATTTTTTTCGCTACCTTTTACTGTAGGGTCTTCTTCAAAAACATCATCTCCAACTTGCGCTTCATACATAGCTTTTCTCATTGCGTTAGTTGGTTTCGTAAGCGTGTCGCTTCGTAGATCAACTATAATGGACTATAGTAATCATACACTTAACTTAGAATGATCTCCACGAAACATAACGTTTGAATGGAATTCTACTGTCTCTCTGTTATTGGAAATGTCTCAAGAATGCAAATTTCTTCTAGGACATATTCTGTATTTTCTACACAATATTTCCCCGCGCGTGCGATAAGGATAACAATCAATTTACATACTTTCATGGACGTTATCATTCAAATTATATAGGACAACAATGGATAATAATGAATAAATTTACACCGTCGTTAATTTTATAATATTATATTAATTTATGAGATCAGGTAGAACATAGAATTATAATATCGTAAGATATCACACAGATAGCATAAAATAATACATATTGTATTAGGTGTTGGAATTAATTCGTAGCGTTTTACAAGTGATGGGAAGTACTTTCATTAATGTATTTTTTAATGCTCATGTGAAATAAATAACATTCTTTCATTAAAAACGCTACGAATTAATTCCAACACCTAATAAGATAGCTTATATTAAATGGCCTTTCAATTTCGGTATCTGTTTTTTCTCACTTCTTTTACCGTAACGGTTACCGTAACGGTTTATTTGAATTTCGGTTTTCGGTAATTATATATACCCATAACAGTCACCGTTATCATTAAAAGTACTGAGAAGAAACCAATACCGACATTGAAAATTGAGTATCCTCGAATCGTATTTAATGTATCCATAATGTAATTTCGATCCGAGTCTCTGCTTATAAGCAAATTTATAAATGCCGAACAAAGTCATAATGGTGTCTTTATGAGTGCGTTCCAAGTTACGCATGAAACGCATGATGTATTGTTTGTCCTTGTTGTTCATCAAATAATACAGAAGGATAAAACAATACATCATGCGTAACTCTGAACATACCCCATGGCATCATTATAATTCTATGTTTTAAATATTATTATGACTTCCATATTTCCTAGGAAGGATCAAATAGTGAAAGAGCTGGACACTGGTTTTTTTTTTACTTACATTATTCTGCTTCGCATAATCATGAATGCCTTCATTTACCGCGCCGTACGACATCCTGCTGGCTATTACTAACTGTGATCAGCGTTGGTCGACGTGTGTTGAGTTAACTGAGTTTGCTTTCGTGAGACGCCGCGCTTATATATGACTGTATATCTACATCTATGCGTAGTAATATCATGATATAAACACGAAAGAAAAACTACGCTATCGTTTACAATATTTATGATGCGTTCACATATTAATAGAAAGATAAAATGCGGAAATTGTTAAAAAAGGAATAAAAGAGGTATAATTATTATATTTTATAAACGCGGTAATGACGGAATCGTTCACATTTAGAAAATTATATAAATTATATAAATAATTATATAAATTATATAAAAGTTTATGCAGATTTTCGACAAGGTGATAAGGCGAAAAGATAAAGAGAATATCGAAAATTTAATTTTTATTCTAGAATATTTTCGACATCGATTTGAAATCAAATTAAGCTAATTTATTTTAAATATAAAATCAATTTATGTAAAATTTTAAATATTTTATGTTTATTATTACATTAAATAATTAAATTAAATATACGGTTAACATTATACATATAATATTTTGTATCATGACGATTTCAAATTTGAAAATTACTTAGAATAGGATTATATAATAGTGTAAATTTTGTTTGATATTCACTCGATATTACAGTTGTTTGAGATAATAATTTCTATGATAAGAATATTACAGCGATAAGAAATTATCACTTTGATGTCAATATTCGTGTGCAAATGCAAAAAATGCTGAAGATAAAGAAATCAGTAGGTCTATTCTTAAACACTTCACTCGCTTCTTCTTTTACAATCTTAACCATATACTCAAGCAGAACAAGTCACGATAATGTCAAAATGATATTAAATTAAATGAATCGGAAATTATTAAAAAATGACTTTCAATAATCATTTTGGAGTCATTTTGGCATTATTTTACTATCATAATGATTCGATGTTTTGCTTAGGTAAGGTATTTTTGTTATAAAAATAAATATTTTTCGATAAAATTTTAATTTATGGAAATGTTATAATTGCTAAGAGAAGAAATCAATTAGATATTTCGATAGGATTCAAAACGATCAATAATTTAATGAAAAAAATGCGTGAGTCGAATAAATGTTTTAAGTTAATACAAATAATATTTGTTAGGATCACAATTAATAGATTAATTATTGTTAAAAACTTTGAAAAATATTCCACACTCAACGACTGTGCCAATGCAACTAACTGGCGAGACTGGTTGGACAGGTTTGACATCATGGATTAACATAGTTTGTTTTTTATTCCTGCACTTGACTAGAACTCTCTATCTTTCACCAAATATCAAACATAATATATCTATCTCGCTTTAAGTTCTAAAAGTGTAGACTAGATCAGCTACAGAAAACAGGCTTATAAATAGTACAACATGAAGTAACGTGAAGCAATGTTCTCTACGGACGCATCGATGACTGAAAATTCTTCGTGTCTTCTGATTAAATTTAATTTGAATAATCAACAATAAAATCAATTTCGATTGATTTGTTCCTGATAATTGATTTCATTTTTGATATCAAGTGATATTTTATGATATTTTATTAACATAAATAAAATTAATTATTCTTTGTTTCAAATATGAAAGGAAAGATTAAAGATATAAGGTAGCATTCATAATTGATTCTTATAATATATTACAAGGCCGTCTTAAGCTGGAATCAGACTACGCATTGAAGAATAAGACTGAGGATTGAAAGATTGAAGTTTGACCAATCAGAACAAAAGGAGCCAAAACTTCTTTATCCTCATTGGTGCAATTTCAATCTTTAATTTTTAATCTCAATCTTCAATGCATAGTCTGATTCCGATCTTAAGCACAGTCTTAAAGATGTCACGAACCAATCAAAGAGCCGTATTAGCATCTTAAGATGATCTTGAAATAAGAACGGATTAGTCCTAGATTTACCAATAAGGTTTTTAAACCTTAAAATATAAGAAATGGATGAATCACAGTCAATTATTCTTCTCGCATTCGACTGTAATTGGTCAAATTCTTATGACTTAAAGCTTAAAACAATTGTAGATTCAGGCTACGTTCCAAAACTTCCTCTCTGAGAAAAATTTTACTCGAAACATGTAGTACACGTAACGTATACTATAGCATACAGAGTAAAATCTTCCTTGAAGAGGAAGTTTTGAAAAATAGTCCTAGATTTATAAATACCGGTTTTAAGTGGAAAAATTTCTAGTTAGAATTCTTCTAGCTATCAATTCTGTATTTTGAACTAATTTACTGAATAAATATATTTATTAATATTTCTAATTCTTAAAATTAGAAAAATATAAGATGTAAGTCAAATTCAGATTAAAATTAATTAATTATCAGATTAACATTAGCAGAAATGTGAACATTAGCAGAGAGAAACCTAAGAGTAGACAAATTTCGGCCTTTTTCCATTATCAAACTTCATAGGGTAATGTCCACGAATAATCAACTTTGATTGTTCGTCCTTGTTTAATCCTTGTCTAATAGCAAGGAAAAGAACCACAAAAACATGGACATTATCCTATGAGATTCGGTACAAGAAAAAGGCCTCGCTGTTATTGGTGTATTCTTTTAGATCATCCATCAGCATTTTATGTCTGGAAGAATACATCAATAGCAGCGAGCGCTCACTTAACTGTTGAATCTGTTGAACGCAGCCAATATTTAAATTTTTAAAAGATTAGTTAAGGCACGACGATAAATTAATAAATCATAAAATTAGTACAATATTATCAGTTTTTAACTCTTAATTACTTCGATATTCACAAGGACTCCCGTAAGGATGTCGATCTTTAATATTGGGTCATCTAAAAAGTATCCGCGGTTTTTTGTCACTAGATGTGTGTTGATAGTCATATATCTAGTGACAAAGTACCGCGGATACTTTTTAGATGACCCAATAGTATCTCGTCTGTGATTGAAGTTAGTTAAAATAGTCCAAAATTCAAATAAATGAAATATTTGGAAAAATTATTTCACATTCAATCGATTTATTCAGTCTCGATTCGAGTTCGATAAATCGAGCCTGATTGAAACCTAAAATAAGATGAAAATCCATATGTTCCTAGTGTCTAGTAAACTCGTTCGAGAATGAAAGGAATGTTCGGATTGGAGCGTATGAATCGATCGAGAAAGAAGTGGGGAACAAGAGACGAATGTGGCGCGGTGCCGGAGGTGGTCACGCTCGACGAGGATCGGCGGCAGTTGTGATCGGCGCGGTCGAGACGTGAGTCAAGAAGAAGCGAAGCAAACGAGAGAGCAAAAAGGGGAGAGGGTCGAGAGCAATTCGCTACGAGAGAAAGAAGCTCGCGCCCACACGCATCGTTCGCGTTTCTTTGTTACATGTGCGATCTATCGTCGCCGGTACGACAATATTTTTCGAAAGCACGGAGGGCGAGTCCGTCCGTTGTCGCGACAGTGGTAGTGGTAGTGACGGCAGTGGTGGTGGTGTAATATTTCATAGTGGCGGTGGTGTTGGTGCCGCCGTCGCGCACTCGTCGTTGGTCGCGCATCGTGGCGACAGCTGGTAGCGACAGCCGTCGTCGCACGTCGTCGTCGTCGTCAGGCTCGACTTCGAGTCGATCGAGTCGCGTACGCAAGTACGATACGCGGGTAGTCGCGGACGTTACGCGCGCGTTCGTGGAACGAAGTAACGGATAACGGTGCGCGCGCGCGCACACACACATATACACACACACACACACACAAGGGACGAGAGAAAGTATAGTCGGGAACGCACAAGGGGCAGGCCCGCAGCAGCAGCACCTTTGCCGCGTCGTGTTGCGCGCTCGCTAAACAAAGATGGCGGACGTGGACTCGAGGGTAGACCGGTCCGATCCGGAGCTGCGTATCTTGTCGGTCGACAGGAACAGCTTCAACGATCCGGCCACCCAAGCGGAATGGACGCAAAAGAAGCTGGTGTGGGTGCCACACGAGACGCAGGGCTTCGTCGCCGCCGGTATCAAGGGCGAGCGCGGCGACGAAGTCGAGGTGGAGATCGCGGAGACCGGCAAGCGCGTACTCGTCGCCAAGGATGATATACAGAAGATGAATCCGCCCAAGTTCGATAAGGTCGAGGACATGGCGGAGCTTACCTGTCTCAACGAGGCCTCCGTTCTGCATAACCTCAAGGACCGATACTATTCCGGACTGATTTACGTGAGTCTGCGAGCCTCCTCTCGGGCTCCTTTTATTCCTGGCGTTGCGCCTGCCTCGCTTCTCGGTTTAAGCTCCACGATTTAACCGGCCCGTTCTTACAATTGCTTTTAAAGCGGTATTTAAATCTTGTTTTTCTCGCCAAAGCCCCCGATGACCTTACGCTCGTTGCTAACCCAATTTTCCTTCTCGATCCATGCTGTGGATTGATTCGCCCCCGGGTCTCGAGTTCCAAGAAGTCCGAATTCGTCGAGAGACTCGAAATTCGGGAACTTGGACACAAAATTGTGCGCCGCTGAGATTTTAATTGCAACAAAGGATAAAAATTAAAGCTCAAAGTTTATCGTATCGAGAGAATAAACTCTGAAAAAAATACGATAATAAATTTGTTTTACCATTCTCGTTTTAGAAGGAAATGTAAAAGACGCGAGAAAATAAATTTCGTTCGTTTAACGGGTTGACCTGTCATTAGGAACATTTTTAGAATGAATGGATCCGGTTCTTTTTACTGCGAATGATTCGGTGTTTTTCTTTCGTTCTGTTGTTTCTTCGCAGTGTTAAGAATCGAAAGTTTGGGAGATGGTCTCGCGAATGCCGCGGCGATGCAGGTGCAAGTGCCAGATGCGTACCGGCCCTTCCACGCATCCCGTAGGGCCGGTTCCTCCAATGTCGGTTAACTCTAACCTCGATTTAAAATGTTCTTCCATTCTTTCCTTTTGCTAGAATCTGGAGAAAAACCTTTCGATTTAAATCGAACTTTGAGGCCCGATGTTTTATTTTCTGATTAACTTAGATTTAACTCGATGGCAATGTAAAAATAATATTTTTCTAGCTATATGATTAATTATTAAACTGATAATTCTGTAGTGAATAATTTTTAAAATTATCACTAAAAGCCATCAATTTTGCGATTATCCAGCTAGAATTATCTAGCTAGAAATCAAGCTTGGTTTTTCTGATTAACTTGTGGTTTAGACTTAATCTTATTTGATAATGATGTAAAAAATTGTATTTTTCTAGCTATGGTTAATCACTAAAGTGATGATTTTA